GGTATAGAAAAAATCCTGCAGCACACAGTGCATAATGAGAAAAAAAAAACTTTGACCATTTTTTTGGAATACAACAGCGACTTTGCACTATTTTCGTAGGGTATTTATTGTTGTATTCTAGTTTTCTTGGTCTCATTTTATAGAATGGAAGGCATATCATAGAAGTTGAGATGATTTTGACTGGTTTTACAATGAAAAGTACCTTGAAATTGAGCTCAAAGTAGCAGAAATGTTCGATTTTTACCAAAGTTCAAAAGTAAACAAATCATGCCAAGCGTCCAATTCACGTCAACTGGTGAGTCTAATATTCTTTTGCAAGTGCGCCAATATGATTCATACCATTTTTTACACTAATGCAGTAGTCTGCATAACAGTAAATCTTCTATTTTTTGTGAGAATAAAAATTCAAAGTGGAAAGCAAAAGAATGTAAGAGGGGCCTTGAGACATGACTAATGAACAGAGGAAATGTCATTTTAGTGCCAGGAATGTATTTCTTGTTTGTTCTGGACCCTATTCGGAAATTGGCATCTTTTGAAATTTGTGTGAAATTGGCAAAATTGCTAAATTCTGACCACTGAACTGGATAGTTGAAATTGGTAAATGGGTGGTTTCTTGCACTCATTCTAGCGAAATATTCATGTTTTCTGTCGACTAGTACAATGGAACTGGCTGAAAATGGGGCTCAAAGTGGGCAAAATTGCCGATCCGTAAACATCGCCGAGACCACTAACTTCGCGAGAGCATAATTCCGTAAGTTTTCCATCAAATTTCATATTTTTGGTGTCATTATGATCGGGAAAAGATTCTCTATCTTTTCATAAGAAAAAATTATTTTTTTTTTAAATTTGGCCGACCCTGAAAACGAGTCTCGGAGAGGGCCTGTCGACCCTCAAAGGGTTAAGGGACCACTGTACGTGTGTATGTATTTAAAAAGAGTAAGGGGTCAATAGTAAAGCAGCCCTTATAAAACCCATATTGACTGGTGGAGACACTACTGTCTCTCTCTAGGAAAATATGGAAGAGTAAAAAAGGAAGAAAGTGAGATAGGATGGATGGTAAGGTGATACAGAAGGGGAAGAGAAATGGTAGTGGATAGCAGGAAGAAAAGGAATGGTGAAAAAGTGAGGGAAGGGGAGGGGGAACACTACAACTTAGTGAACTAATGAAAAAATTATTTACTGGAAATTCTGCAACCCTGAGAGTAACTTTGAAAGCAGGAGTCATGACCCTGAAAGGGTTAAAGGACACCACCTCATTAGTACATTTAATCAAGAGTACACCGTTGTTTTCGACTTGATATAGTTTTTTACATACAACAGGTAGTGCATAATATTTTTATATCAGTGTAGTCAGGGCACTGAGTGACTTACCAGTTGCAGTAATTCACCTCAAAAAAAAAAAAAAAAAAAAAAAAAAAAAAAAAAAAAAAAAAAAAAAAAAAAAAAAAAAAAAAAAAAAAAAAAAAAAAAAAAAAGTCAATGTGACTGTATTAAAAAATTTCCTCATATCTCCAGTACAGTAACATACGCAGGAGTCTTATAACCTAATGAAGTAAGTCGTCTTGTGCATATAAAATGAAATACATACAGTACAGTGGTACCCAGAGTTTTGTACTGCTCCCAACTCGAACAATTATGTAAGTGAATTATTGTAAGTGCTTTTGTAAGTATTTTGGGGGTCTGAAATGGACTAATCAAATTAACATTATTCCTTATGGGAACAAATTCATTCAGTAATGGCACTCGAACAGCCTTCTGGGACGAATTATGTACGAAACTCAGGGTACCACTGTATATATAATGAGTAAGCAAAATACAGTTAAGCTTCCTTTACTATGAAATACCAGCCTAAATAACAAAAAAGCAACTTCATAATTCCAAACAAAAACCAATTACAGCAATTCACAAAACAAATGTACACTCCTTGTATTTACCCTAGTCATATTATGCAGGGAAATTCTTGAATAATCACATTATATTTACGAAGTGCCGTGCATAAAAAAAATGAACTACAATAGAAAAGCCAGCCACTGATATAGACTTTCAACAGCCGAGATTGTTTAAAAAATATTACATCTTAGAGGTGTTAATATGGTGAAATAATTACACGACTTAAATAGTATATAATAGGCATTTTTTTATAATTTCCCTACTGTTTTAAGATTCTGAGAAAAAGAAGAGAGAGAGAGAGAGAGAGAGAGAGAGAGAGAGAGAGAGAGAGAGAGAGAGAGAGAGAGAGAGAAACGAGAGAGAGAAACGAGAGAGAAACGAGAGAAAACGGAGAGGGGAGAGAAACGAGAAAAAACGAGAGAGAAACGAGAGAGAAACGAGAAAACGAGAGAGAAACGAGAGAGAGAGAAACGAGAGAGAGAAACGAGAGAGAGAGAAACGAGAGAGAGAGAAACGAGAGAGAGAAACGAGAGAGAGAGAAACGAGAGAGAAACGAGAGAAAAGAAACGAGAGAGAGAGAAAGAAACGAGAGAGAGAAACGAGAGGAAACGAGAGAGAGAGAAACGAGAGAGAAACGAGAGAGAAACGAGAGAGAAACGAGAGAGAAACGAGAGAGAGAAACGAGAGAGAGAGAAAACGAAGAGAGAAGAAACGAGAGAGAGAGAAACGAGATAGAAACGAGAGAGAGAGAAACGAGAGAGAGAGAAACGAGAGAGAGAGAAACGAGAGAGAGAGAAACGAGAGAGAGGAAAACGAGAGAAACGAGAGAGAGAGAGAAACGAGAAAGAGAGAGAAACGAGAGAGAGAGAAACGAGAGAGAGAGAAACGAGAGAGAGAGAAACGAGAGAGAGAGAAACGAGAGAGAGAGAAACGAGAGAGAGAGAAACGAGAGAGAGAAACGAGAGAGAGAAACGAGAGAGAGAAACGAGAGAGAGAAACGAGAGAGAGAAACGAGAGAGAGAAACGAGAGAGAGAAACGAGAGAGAGAAACGAGAGAGAAACGAGAGAGAGAGAAACGAGAGAAGAAACGAGAGAGAGAACGAGAGAGAAAAAACGAGAGAGAGAGAAACGAGAGAGAGAGAAACGAGAGAGAAACGAGAGAAACGAGAGAGAGAAACGAGAGAGAGAGAAACGAGAGAGAGAGAAACGAGAGAGAGAGAAACGAGAGAGAGAGAAACGAGAGAGAGAGAGACGAGAGAGGGGAGAAACGAGAGAGAGAAACGGGGAGAAAAAACGAGAGAGAAACGAGAGGAGAAACGAGAGAGAGAAACGAGAGAGAAACGAGAGAGAGAAACGAGAGAGAAACGAGAGAGAGAAACGAGAGAGAGAAACGAGAGAGAGAAACGAGAGAGAGAAACAAAGAGAGAAAAACGAGAGAGAAACGAGAGAGAGAAACGAGAAGAGAAAACGAGAAAAGAGAAACGAGAGGGGAGAAACGAGAGGAGAGAAACGAGAGAGAGAAATTAAGAGAGAAACAAGAGAGAGAAACAAGAGAGAGAAACAAGAGAGAGAAACGAGAGAGAGAAACGAGAGAGAAACGAGAGAGAAACGAGAAAAAACGAGAGAAACGAGAGAGAAACGAGTGAGAAACGAAAAACGAGAGAGAAACGAGAGAAACGAGAGAAACGAGAGAGAGAACGAGAGAGAGAACGAGAGAATGAGAGAACGAGAGAGAACGAGAGAGAGAGAGAGAGAGAGAGAGAGAGAGAGAGAGAGAGAGAGAGAGAGAGAGAGCAGTGATGTAGGTAACAGCTCTTAGCTTATAAATAAAGTTGGGAAACCCCTTTAAAAAAACCTTACAAGACTAACAAAGGAAGGGAAGGTGAGAATGTGGTGGGGGTGGAGAGGAGGAGGAAAAGATAGGAAGGAAAGGGGGAGGAGGGAGAAGAGAGAGGAAGGAGAGCAGGGAGAGAAGTGTGGGGAGAACAGGAGGGAAAGATGGGGAAGAGAGGAGGGGAGATAAGAGGAGGAAGGGAGAGGAGGGGAGATAAGAGGAGGAAGGGAGAGGAGGGGAGATAAGAGGAGGAAGGGAAGGAGGGGAGATAAGAGGAGGAAGGGAGAGGAGGAGGAAGGGAGAGAGGAGGAGGAAGGGAGAGAAAAGGAGGAGGAAGGGAGAGAAAAAGGAGGAAGGGAGAGGAGGAGGAGGAGGAAGGGAGAGGAGGAGGAGGAGGAAGGGAGGGGAAAAGGGAGGAGGAAGGAACGAGGAGGAGGGGAAGGAGAGGAGGAGGAGGAGGAGGGGGAGAGAGGAAGGGGGGAGGAGTGGGAGGAGGGAGGGAGGAGGGAGGGAGGAGGGAGGGAAGAGGAGGAAGAGGAGAAGGAGGAGGAGGAGGGAGGAGAGAGGGGAGGGAAGGGGGGAGTAATGGGAGGTCAGGCAAGAGGGAAAAGAAGAAATGAGAGGAAGAAATGGAAGGAGAGGAGAGGAAATGGAAAAGTGACAGATGGTGGGAAGCAATGGAGTGGTATGAAATATTTAGAGGGAAGAAGGAAATGGGGCAAGAGGATGAGATGAATATCTCTGCAGCATAATGGTGAACATGCATGTGTCCTAAATATAGTAAATGGCACAGTATGTGTTCTTGTTCTCCTCTAATTACCAGGGTCATACTGGGCACTATATTAAAAAAATAATTTGACCCCGTTATATGTACTGTCAAGCTATTTTATGGCAAAAGAGAATACACATTGTGTAAATAAATCTTGCATCACCTGAAGTGGCTCTTTAGTAGTAAGGTAGTAACAAGGTAAGCAAAGTACACTGTGTAAACAAGCCTTATATCCCTTGAAGTGGCTCTTAATTATTTTGATGTCGGTCACAAGTAAACAAGCATAATAATGGCAAGCAAGACCATAATCATACATTTCCCTCGATACGAATTACTATTCAATGAAACTAAACACCACTAACTCTCTCCAGTAGTAACTTAATTCAACTTTCCCAGTTACAAGTGAAGATTTAGAAAAATTTAAAAATGCTTCTAAAAAACCAGGATAGGAACTTTCAAGAGAGAAGACATAAGGGAAAAAATGTGTGGTGACAATGCATGTCGAACCTCGATATCAGATGGGTGAGATGTCCGGTTGGACAGCCATCGTCCTCTACCAGCTGGCACGCCATTCACGATTTGACGTATCCCATTCTGATAATACAAAAGACTTCAGTTATTCTTATTTTGTGTCAATCACTAAGGCTTAATGACCACAGCAGAATCATATGCTGTAATACATAATTTCAGTCTAGAATAGGACACTACAGATTTTTTTTTTTTTTTTTTTTTTTTTTGTAAAAATCTGCCAGATATTAGGCAAGAGGCAAGAAAATAGACCTCAACAAATTTATAATTACACAAACACATTTAAAACTATTTACACTGAGTTTGCACTCAATAGATGCTTATGTTAATTGTCAAAAGAGCAGCAAAATGAATGACTGATGACACAAGTGCCCTCCTAAACGTTCATTCAATTAACCCTTTCAGGGTCCGTGCCATAGATCTACGGCTTTGAAGCCAGGGTCCAAACCGTAGATCTACGCCATGAGCTCAGCTCGCCCATAACCTGTGAGTGGTAAATTTGAGCCTAGATACGAGAGAACATCTGTGTGGTAAGTGTGTACCACAAGACAAATCCTGCAGCACGCAGTGCATGAGAAAAAAAATGTGACCGTGATTTTGGTTTAAAACAGCGACTTTGCAGTGCTTTTTTGTATATTTTTTACAGTTATATTTGCAATTTCTTGGTCTCATTTGATAGAATGGAATATATATTACAGAAATAGAGATGATTTTGATTGGTTTTAGTAGTGAAAATGGCTTGAAACTGAGCTCAAAGTAACGGAAATGTTCAATTTTTGCTGATGTTCAAGAGTAAACAAATGTCGTCACAAGTCTAATACGTGTCAGCTGGTGGTTCTAATATATGTTCACAAATGTGATCACGTCACACGTCCAATACATGTCAACTGGTGGGTCCAATATGCTTTCACATACGCACTGATATCATTTAAATTATTTTTTTCAAAAATGCAGTAGTCTGCATAACAGTAAATCTTCTAATTTTTTGTGTGAATAAAAATTAAAAATGGAAAGCAAGAATGATAAGAGAGGCCCAAAGAGGGAGGAGCTATAGAAGAGGGAGGGGCCAGCAGAAGCAGCATTCACTATCTAACGAGTCGCCTTGATAGCTGGATATTAGTGGCGACGCAAGTACAATATTGTGTAATTACACTAATATTAGTAATAAAGGTTATCTATCACATTTATTACAACATATCAGCAACATGATAGATAACCTAGAAGCACAATAAAGACACCGAAATTAATAAAAGGCATATTACATGGAGAGGCGGAGGCAGTGTTTACATCAGGGCAAACACGCACTAACCTATTTTCTTTTTGGTCCACTTATCACTAATCTCCTTGGGCCCCATGGTGACTTATTACAATAAAAAAAAAAAAATGTGAAGCATGAAATAGGTTACATTGAAGTTCAGTGGAGCTTTGGACTGAGCGACAGCTGCGAGGAGACAGAGTGACACATTATTTTTGCCGCGCATACCGATTAAAAACCCGCTCACCGATTTTCGTCCGAGACGCGTCCAATGTGCGCCCTCAGCCAGCCTCACATGTGCCGCCCGTGCCATTGTTTACCAGCCAGCCTCCGCGGTAACATCCAAGCATACACTCGGAATATTTCGTATTATTACAGTGTTTTCGGTGCTGTTTCTGGAAAATAAGTGACCATGGGCCCCAAGAAAGCTTCTAGTGCCAACCGTACACCAATAAGGGTAAGAATTCCCATTGAAATGAAGAAAGAGATCATTGATAAGTATAAAGTGGAGTGCGTATCGCCGACCTAGTCAAGTTGTACAAGAACCCCAATCAACCATCGCTACTATTGTGGGCACCAAAAAGACAATCAAGAAGCAGTTCTTGCCAAAGGTTTAACTGTGTTTTCGAAACAAAGATCGCAAGTGATGGAAGATGTTGAGGACCTTTTTTGGGTGGTAAATGAAAAACGCTAGCAAATAGGGCTTAAAGCGATCATATGTGAAAAGGTAGGAAGTTGCATGGGTTTTAATTTAAAAAAATCCCCTGCAACTAGTGATGATTGAGTGAATTTAAGGCCAAAAAAGGTTGGTTTGAGAGATTAAGAAGGTATGGATCCATGTGTATAAGGCAGGGTGGGGGCTGCCATTCGGACCAAAAAGGGCGGGAAAAAATGGCGGGAATCAAGGTAAATAAAAGAAGGACTAAAACCTGACAAGTGTTTAATTGTGATGAAACGGCCTGTTCGGAAGAAAAAGCCAAGCGGGGACCTAATTACTCAGGAGGAAAAGGCACTCCCAGGACAAAAGCCTTGAAAGACGGCTTACTCTTCTCTGGCCAAATGTACGGGTGATTGAAAAAGTAAAGCCTTATTTGTATCATTGAAACCCCCAGAGCGTTCAGGCAAAAAAATTCCCCTAAAGGGATAATTTGGGGTTGTGTGGGGGCAAACAGTAAGGCATGGTCACAGGGAATTTTTCTAAAACTTTTTACAAAAATGATTTCCCCCCAATGTGAAAGATTCCTAATAAAAAGAAATTAAACTTAATTTCCTCCTGGTGTTAGAAATGCCCGGGTATCCTCAGAGTGCCAGAGCGACTTTAGGGACATGAGCTTCTTTTAAGGTGAATTTTTTGCCTCAAATCCACCCCTCTCCTGAGCCCATGGCCCAGCGGTTATTTCCAACTTCAAAAAAATTCACAAAAGCTCTGTTTAAAAGGTGTTTTGTAAGACTCAGAAACTCAACTGACTCAAGAGGTTTTGGAGAGATCCTTTAAATTCCTAATTGTGAAAACCTTTAAGAAAAGGCTTGGGGGAAGTGACTAAGAAGCCCTTGAACTTTTTGGGAAGAAACTGGGGCCCAAAAATTGTAGACAAAAGGGGTTTTGAAGGGTTTGGGGCTAACCCCAGGGTTATGCCCGTTGAGGAATCCCCTTGTGGCATTTTGGGAAAGTCCCCTTGGGGGGGGAGGTTAGTGGGGAGGGGTGTGGAAGAGTTTTTGGAGGAGGACAAAAAAGAACTAACCTGTGAGCGAAAGAAACTTCAAGAGCAAGAGGCCGACCCGAGGAAACTGGTTCAGAGGGGGGGAGAGAGAAAATTTAAGAAGTTTCCTTTAAAAAAATAAAGGAAAACGGCAAAGTGGCTTGAAGTGCAAACTTCATGGATGAAAATCACCCTCACCCAAACTATTGCAAACCCTGTTGGCAACCCCCTACCTGACAATGTTTTTGAAAAACTTTAGGGAAGTGATTAAAGGGGAAAGAGAGGACAGGCCACTATGGGAAAATTTTGTGCGAAAGAAGCCCCTGACTCTAAGCTGGCCCCGTGGCATTAAAAAAAAAAGGGAAGTAACCCCCAAAAAAACTTGTACCTAAATCCCAATGGGAAAGGGATTCCCCTTTTAAACAGTAAGAAGAAAATGTTCCCCCCCTCCCATCCACCAACATCACCCGATCTTCAAAAAAAGTAAGTGTCATGTAGTGTGCATGCCTTTTTCGTTTGTGTTAAATTTAAAATTAATATTTTTTGTGGGAAAAAAAAAATTTTTTTACTTTTGGGGTTTTCACGGATTAATTTTTTTTCCATTATTTTATGGGGGAAAAATTTATTCCTGATTATTTCGCATAACAATTACCCCCCCTTGAATTAAAATCGTTTAAAACCCGGGGGCCACTGTATATATATATTTAATATATATATTTATATAAATATAAATAATATATATATATTTTTTTGTAATATATATATATTATATATATTAATATATATTAATACTATTTATTAATAATATATATATATATAAATATTTTATATATATATATATATTATAAAAAAATATATATTTTATATTATAAAATATATATAATATAATATATTTTTATATATATATATATATAATATTTTATAAATAAATAATACATATATATATATATATATTATTATATATTATATTTATATATATATTAATTATTATTATTAAATATATATTTTTAATTTTTATGTAATATATACTCTTTTATATACTCTTATAACATCTATAAATTTTCAAACTTTTTTAATCTATAATCATAAATATTAAATTTTTTAAAATATTTAAAATTATATATATTATATATATATATTTATATATTAAAAAAAAGCTCTCCCAAAGTTCAGGGAAAAAGTAAAGCTGTTTCCCCGGCTTTGAAGGCACCCCACTCAGATTTTCCCGTTTGCTGTTCCCCTTTTTCCCCCGGGGATCCCTATCGCCCCCGGCCATTCGGGTTTGGGGTTGTCTTCGCCTAGCCGCCCCCATCCTCCCGAACTAGGTGTTTTGCGGCAGGGCGACAGTGTCAATTCGGACTTCTGGTTCGTGTGTCACACAGAAGGGGAAATATCCCGACATGAGGGGTAATGACATAATAAGAGAAGCCTCACCCACCCCCGTTGCCCGCTAAACGGGAACCCAGTCTGTACGGTTTCAAACAATTTATTTCCCTAATCCATTTTTTACCTTACATTATGGACAAATAAAAAACAAAACCAGGAACCAGTCGCCCAAATTTATTAGTCCATGGGCATTTTCATAAAAAATTATCCAAAGGGCTTGTTGATATTTTGACCCCTCTGTTGGCAAAATTTTAACTTTAATTTTAAAAAAAACATAGACTTGGTTAAAAATTAAACCCTTGACTATTTAAATGATTTTAAATGGTTATTTTTTGATGTTACTTCCTTTTTTACAAAAGTTCCTGTTGATGATTTTTTTAGTTTTCTTATTAAGAATCTTTAAACTATTTTTACCATTCCCAGTTCCTACTACTTTAAACTTTTTAAACTTTGCATTGTTGATGAAAAATTTTTTTTAAAATGATAAGTTTTACACTCAGAATTTTGGGTTTGGGCAGGGGAAACCCTCTTTCCCTTTTTTAGTAACCTATACTTGGAATTTTTTGAAAAAAGGTTGTTAACACAATCTCCCTTTAGAGCTAAAAGGTTCGTTTGTTGTATATTTTGTGTTTATCCCCAAAATGTAATATCACCTTTTTTTGGGGAAAATTTAAAATAGTTACCCCATTCTATAAACTTTATGTTAGTTTGAAGAAAAACTCATTGCCTTTTCTAGATGTTTTAATTATTAGGGAATAATAAATTCAAATTTAAAATTTACAGAAAACCACAAATAACTGTTCCTATGCCCTATTTTTCCCCTCGTTTCAAAAGAGTCAAAGTCTGTTTTCTCTCAATGTTTTTGAGAGTTTTTCGAATTTGTAGTCCTGAGTTCTAGATGAGGAAATATCCAAAATTTATGAAATAGGAAATGTTTTAAAAATCCCCAAGAAATTAATTGATAAATCTTTTAAAGTTGCTGGAACACTTTTTATAAACCCAAAAAAAAGGGGAACCGCCTTTTTTCAACAAAAATATTTTTGGGTTTTCCCTTTCCATGAAAATTGGGTTTATATGCCTTCTCTTTTAAGACTTTTTTTAAAGTTTGTATTCAAAAAAAACTTGATACAGTAAAAAAACTTTTGTTAAGAATTCCCCCCAAATGCTGATGGATGTGTCTATAAGATTCCCTTTTAAAAAATTTTCGATAAAGTTTATTACGGTAAAACTGGTAAAAATTCGAACTAAATTAAAACAAATAAATATAGCTTAGAATGGCAAGTTCCAATGCTCTTTTATTAATGTAAGAGATTTTAAAACCCTCCAAAAGTTTCAAAAAATTTAGAAAGTATACAAGCAAGTCCATGGTCGACAGGAAAATAAAAGAATCTTGTTTCATAAAAAACAGTTTTGACAATAATATGAAAATTTTTCCCTTTTGGTTTTATAAATTGACCATTTATAATTAAAAGAATTTGGGTAGAATTTTAAAAATACAGGACAAAAAAATAGCTTTGGGGGGAGTTTTGCAAAGGACCTTCCAAGTTGGTCGCCGCGCGTCACGTGTTAACCCTTTTGGGATTGATAGGAGGTGCTGGCCGACCCCCTTTTTAGTTCCTTTGGGGCTTCACTTTCATGTTCCTTTATAATGTGGTAGTCACGAAAGGCCCTTTGGAATTTCTCTATTCTTTTAGGTGGTTTTTTTGCAAGCCTTGTAAATATAATATATATATAATATATATATATTTATATATATATATTTATTATATATTATAAATAATATAATAATAAATTTTATATAATTTAAAATATATATTTATATATTATATTATATTATATATTATATATATACAGGGCCCCCGCATAACGAATTTCCTCCGAATGTGCCAATTATTAAGTGTATTTATGTAAGTGCGTTTTAGTGTATGTTTGGGGGGCAAAAAGGACAATCTACTTCACAAAATTTTTCTTATGGGAACAAATTCGGTCAGTACTGGCCCTGAACATTTCTGGAGTGAAAAAAAATCGTTAAACCGGGGGGTCCACTGTATAGGGAATACCCCCTGTATAGTGGAATGGGGACCCTTACCTCAGAGAAGACAAAAAAACTTCCTCAGGGGGGAAAATCAAAGGTTCTCCGGAGCTGTTTGAATATTTTCTTTTCCTACCACCCCCTAATATTTTTTATTCATTGAACATTTATTAATAAAACAAAATACATTTCAGAAAAAAAAAAAAATGAATACAATAGCACAATTTATCAAAGATCATGAATTTCCTCCAGCTCCTCCGAGGCTGGACGTGAGCCAAGTACGCAGCAAGCATTTCCCTCTGGATGGCGACACTGAGGCGCTGGAACATGAAAGTGGCTGCCCTTGGGTCCCTGGTGGTGTCGATGAGTCTGGAACCCAATTCTTTAAGGAAACGTGTGGCATTTTTTCCCATGATCCCAAGGTCCTGATCCCACTGGGACAAATTGATACTTTTGGCTAATGTTCCCTGTACTTTCTAATCTTGTACTCCTCCCCGTGGTCAGCAGCTCCTCCCTGTCGCCCCCCACTGTGATGGATATAGATGTTAGCCCGTGTGGACACACAGGTATAGTCCCCTTTTAAGAGCTTGCCATTCTTCCAAGGATAGACGTGAAACCCGTCGGGGCGGAAATTGCTGGGTTGTGGGTATTGTTTGCTGCAAGTGATCGTGGCTCCCTCTCGGCAGGGCATCCCGCTGTAGCAAGGGTTCTCTTAATGATGTCGTTGACCTCATTGTGTCTTGCATGCCAAACCCCTTTGGTTTTGGAACAGTTTAAAAACCATGTGACCGTATTGGTCTGCTTGCACTTCGCCGTTAAATACACATATATTCTGTGTGAATTGGGGCAGCAAGGCGCAGAGCCACTGCATTTCGGAGGTCCCTTTGGGTCGAGTCGCGTTCCCCTTGCGATATGGGAACTGTTTGGAGGAAGTCCCCGGAGTGAGGTGCACTCACAGCCTGGAGACGGGCAATCTCCCTATCTGATGTTGCAGCCCCGAGCATGTTGGCAAGCACCTTTTCAGCAATTGGGCCATCCCAGCTTGACTGTTTGTGAGCCAGTGCTGCACTAGGGTTTGGGGGCTGGAGCAGCAAGAGTCTCCCATTCGGTTGATGGCCCCTGGCATAGCTAGGGTTTTTCTATTCCTGCTGAGTCACTGAGGTGTCAGGAGAATTTGTCATATCAACTCGTCTGATGCAATGGAGAGGACTGGAAAGCTGGTTTGAGCAATCTGGGAGGATCTGCGTACTCCTAGCCCTCCAAGCCTGACCGGAAGTGAGGCTTGCACCACTGTCCCCTAAGGGGAAAAATTCAAAATTTTCCA